CACACACACACACACACACACACACACACACACACACACACACACACACACACACACACACAATAAAAAAACAGTTTTGTTATTTAATTTGAGGATCGATTTTCATTGGCTAAGCGTTTCTTCAAGGAGTGACGCCATGACGTACGCTCTGGTGCGTTTTGAAATTATGAGGTGCTCCTGAGACAAATGTTCTGACATCTGCCACTTGAAAATTTAACAACTATTTTTCAAGGATGTTTTGAGATCTATGAAAAAGACTCAACATTTAGTTGAAAAAAATCATTATGACGATGTAATATTAGACGTAACTGATAAAATAGTTTTATTAGATACAGCACGGTTTGCATTCGTGTATCGTAATTCCGACCGTCCAAGGCGGCCGTGAAGCGGCGCGGCTGCGCTGTCGCGCCTCCGCTGCCCCAGGCGCTCCTGTGATGTTCGTTATGAAGTGGACCGAGTCTGTGCTCGGTTTGAACCCGGGAACATGACGTACCGAAGTCGTCGACAGCTGACCTGAGCTTCACACCTGCCCCCGCTCTATCTCCGGACGGTCGGACAGAAGTGATGGATTTCGTTTTGGGCGGAGTGGCGGCATGCGGCGCGTGTCTCTTCACCAACCCGCTGGAGGTCGTGAAGACGCGGATGCAGCTCCAGGGAGAGCTCCGGAGCCGCGGCACGTACCAGGTTCACTACCGCAACGTTTTCCACGCTTTCTACACCATCGGTAAAGTAGACGGACTGGCCGGCTTACAGAAAGGCCTGGTTCCAGGTCTGTTCTACCAGTTCTGCATGAATGGGGTCAGGCTCGGCTCGTACGCCATCATAGAGTCCGCCGGTCACATCCACACCAATGGCCGGGTCAGCGCTGTCAAGACCACGCTTGCGGGGGCTACGGCCGGGGTGGTGGGGGCTGTCATGGGCAGCCCTGTCTACCTGGTGAGCGTCTCACCCTCACCTGCTTTAATAGTAGTGAAGATGAGCTGAGAACTGTAATCCTAATCTGTCTTTGCAGGTGAAGACTCATCTCCAGAGTCAGTCTACTTCATCCATTGCTGTTGGTCATCAGTATAAACACGAGGTAACTTGACAACCAGGTGATTTAGCCACAAACTCATTTTAAACTAATTTTGGATTCAATGCACTGATAAAAACATCCAATTTTAAGTTTTTGTAACAATAAATTTGATAACTTTTGACAAATGTATTTTAACATCATTTTGACTTGTATAGTTTTCTTCATTTACCAGTAAAATATAATCACCACCTTCATTGTTTAGTTTGAATGTTATTTTTCAAGCCACAAGATATTCAAAATGTTTGATTATTTTARCTCTTACCAGTACTCATGGCCTACTTCACTAAATGATACAACTGTTAACTGGGACTTCTGTACATATAGTTAGTATCTGCAGGGGTTCTCAACATTTTTACAGTTTGGGACCCCCAAACTGAATAATATGAGACCCAGCCACTTTGCACTTTTGATCGACTCGTCTCCACCCAGAGGTTTTTTCTTAATTTTCTCAGCTCCAGAAGTCATTATGTAACTTTGCTGTTAAGTCTGTCCTGTTTTAAATAAATGTGCATCAGAGACTCTTCCTCTCAGAACGCAGCTGCAGAAAAGCAGGACGGTAGCTGCCTGTTTTTAATTCGACATATGACCCACTGTAAAAGTGTGAGTTTGGAGAAGCGTTGTCAGCCGTTTCCTCACGTTTCTCCTCTCCTCCTTCCTGACAGGGGATGATTCAYGCTCTCAGAGTCATCTACAGGCAGCACGGACTCCTGGGCCTGTGGAGGGGCTCCAGTGCTGCTGTGCCAAGGGTCAGCGTGGGCTCGGCGACTCAGCTCTCCACCTTCTCCTCCTCCAAGGAGCTGGTCRTGGACCTGCAGGTTTGGAATTAGTCGCTCTGAAGTGTGTTTTTTTTTTTTACATTAGTGGTGAGGAGGTGACCGTCAGCCAACAGTGGGGAGTTTGTTTCCTCCATGTTTCCACATAAACACAGTTTGAGAACAAACATAACTATTTGGCAGTTCTGGCTCCAGTCAGCGTCGAGCTGTAGAACTGCTCTGGTTTGTGACATAACTGGCTTCATGGTTGTTATTTGGATAGAAGCAAATATTTAGTCTTTATATCTTGTTTTGTCTATAGAGGAACTATACTTAAAAAMGTTCTGACACATTCATGCTTGAGTAAAGGTCATCAGTAGTCCGTAGCTGTGCGTRGATCATTGTTGCCATAACAAAACACTCCACTAGAATAAAAATTCTCCACCTTTCACTGGCCTCTCTGACTGGAACACTTGGCTTTCACAACCACTGCCTGTGGATGAATGTGTCCAAACTCTGGTTAACAAAAAGTCTTTCATACCCACAAAGAACAAGGACCTCTACAGAATAATTTGKTTACTTGGTAACATGTTTAAAGTGTTCATAAATGATCCAAATACACGGGAGTGGTGTTCCTTTTTTACCAGAGTTGAAAGAACAACTATTGTAACAAGAAGCACTGCAGCTCAGTAGTTAGCACTGATRCCTCACAGCAAGATGGTCCTGGCTTCAGCCTCCAGTTCAGACCCGGGTCGTTCTTAGGAGTTTACRTGTTYRCCTCGTGCTTGCGTGGATTTTCTCCAGGTTCTCCTGTTTCCTCCCACAGACCAAAARCATGAATGTTAGGTTGCCTCCAGGCCTCCCTCGCAAAACTCTCAAAACAAATCTCAGTGGGATTATCTAATTGCACGCCTTGCTTTGATACAACAGTCAGACACGTAATGTTTGCACATCAGGACTTCCTCGTTAGAAAACTGTGTCGACCGATAAGTGAGGTAATTTTTAGGAGGCGTGACTCAGTTCTGGACACTGTTAAAGGGATCCCTGATTAGTTTTAACATTAGACTTTATTTGATAAACATATATTTTAACTGTAAAATAAAGACAGTAAAAATACTGTAGGTTGTTTAGTTTTGTAAAAATTTTAAAATATATTTTAACATGAACGGAGCCATTTTATTTACATACAAAGCATTCTGGGTAAATGATGACGTGGATAGGTCGTCRGTGTGAGCGAGCAATATCCACCCTGAAGGTTAATCTTGGACAATATCTGATGATCGACTCTTAAATGAAACCAGAGAGCGTTGACAGAGAGGAGAAGGTAGAAATGACTCAGCCTGTAACTGAAAATATGGATGGAGGACAAGAGAGCTGCTTCATGGAAGAAGAACCTCAGCTTAGCCTGTTAGCCTTCATGCTAGCGCAGATGCTATATTGCCTTATATGTATTAGCTCAGAGCTAGCGCGACAAACTAACAAGCTAAACTGAGGTCCTCCATCTATATTTTCAGTTCCAGGCTGTCATTTCTACCTTCTCCTCTCTGTCAACGCTCTCTGGTTTCATTTAAAAAAGCTGATCGTCCGATATTGTCCAAGATTAACCTTCAGAGTGGATATAGCTCGCTAGCAGCCTTGCATCATTTACCCAGAATGCTTTGCGTGTAAAAAATGGCCCCGTCCGTGTAATATATTTTTAAACTTTTAGTTTAAAAAATGATAAAAACTGAACATCCTACAGTATTTTTAGTCTTTATTTTACAGTTAAAATATATGTTTATTAAATTAAGTCTCATGTTGAGTTTCAAAGAGCTTGTATGTTGAGAAGGGTCTTACAGAACAACCAGCCTGGTTCCAGTGACAGTAGTATGGTTAGCCTACTGTAATGTGCTAATAATAGTGACATGTTCGYTGCATTTCAGGATGGGGCTAAAATTAGAGCTGCTGTTGACGTGGTGGTACCCTGCTGTCATTGAATATTTCTGATGACTGTGAGAGCTGAGCCCTTCTCCCTGCGTTAGGATATTTCCTTCCTTCTTGCTTTCAGGTGTTCCCAGACAACAGCTGGCTGGTGGCTCTGAGCGCCGGCATGATCAGCAGCGTGGCGGTGGTGCTGGCCATGACGCCTTTTGATGTGGTCAGCACGCGGCTCTACAACCAGCCCGTCGATCCTCAGGGCAAGGCGAGTGTTATTATGTCTTTGTTGTTGTTTTTGTCATTTATTCAGTCAGTTTTACAGATATTGAGCTCAAATTAGGCGTGGTAGTAGCTGARGGTCATGCCTATCACATACTCTGAGTACTGACAGATCACAGTTTGATGTGTAAGGTGGCAGGGTGGGCGATATGCATTGCTTGAATTGTGAGATAAATTTAAAAGGCCACCAACTAAATCAGAAMAGAATCAGTGGCTCGTCGTCACTAAGAATGGATTTCTGTCACATGTTGGACTTATTATTTATTGTTTCTGAGAATGAGAATATTTAATTGCTTAAAAAGTATGTTTATTACATTTTCACTTAAGCACAGTGGCATTTTGTTACTAATGTAAGGCATTTGATTATGATGATGAGCTTCAGTTGAGACTAAAACACAGTCAAGGCTAAAAATCAAAGTGTGAAAATCATTTTATTTTGTATAGGTTTCTAAGATGTGCACAATATATGGTGTGAAATGATCAAACGTGATGTCTAATACATTATCTTTTCTTTTCAGTCAACGCGCTCCAGTTTCCTGTAAAATGCCTGACCATCAATCTTTTACCAAAATTAACCTTCAAACTGGATAGAGCTCAAAACGGAGCAGCAGTAAACGTCATCATTTACCCAGAAAGCTTTGTGGCATAAATAATATGTTGGCATCCATGTTACTATATTTTTTAATTTGTAAAAACAGCCTACAGTATTTTTACAGTCTATTTTATAGTTGAAGTAAATGTTTATCAAATAATATCAAATGTTACAACTAGTCTAAGATAACTTTAAAGCCACGATCTTAATTGATTTTTGTATTTATATGTTCTAACCTGACGGGTCTGAGGTAGTCATAGTTTGGTTGGCTTCAGTGCAGTCAAAACAACAAACCATTCCACCGCTCACAATGGGCCTCATGCAAGAACATGTTCRTATTCTTATCCTAAATTTCTCTTACTTTTGTTCRTACAAAGGGTTCGTACGAACATGTCACGTCAGATTCAACAAACTCTTCTATCTTCAGGAAAAGTGTGGAAATGAGCTGCGTAAATTACACCTGTTCGTATCCAGTTGCTCGTGCACGCGAGAGGAGATAAGCATAATTAGCACCCCAAAAACACCATATAAGGCTGTGTTTCCTGCCTCAGATATTAGGAAGTGTCCATTCATGAAAATGACAGTGAAAACTAAAAAGAAAAACTTTACGAGTTCAGAGATTGAAGTCCGTCTGTCAGAGATCCAGAAAAGAAAATCTGTCATTTTTAGCAGGTCAGCTGTGGGATAAAAAGAGCTGCTAAAAGTATAAACAACTGCTTTAAATCATTTACATTTATTCAGAAGCCACACTGTTGCACATTGAACCACCCCCCCAGCGCTGCGCGGTCGCAGGTGGTCTCAGATGCGGGTTTGAAATAAGCATTTTAAAATGTTTTCAAAATAAGTCTGGCACTTTGGAGAAAACCCAGGACTTGCTGGAGGGATTGTGTATCCCCTCTGGTCTGGGAACGTCTCGGAGTCCCCCAGGACGGCTGGAAAGTGTCGCTGGGGAGAGCGCGGGGTCTTTCTCCTGCTGGCCCTGCACCTGATAGCGGATAAGCCGGCCGGACGGACAATTTATATTGTTAGTCTAAATTATTACATTTAAAATTATAACTCTAATTCAAGCAGAATAGCCTATTGTCAACATAATTATGGAGTGTGATTTATTTTCAACACAAAATATCTTCAAACTAACGAAATATAAAGTTATTAGTGAAGAAAATTCGTCTGGATAACAGCAGACTGACTGCTCGTAAAATATACGACAGGTCTGGACCACTCATAAATTTTGTTCATATCTGAAAAAATCTTAGAATATGAAAACATTGGTGAATGCCACAAATTCTCCTAAATCACTCGTACGCACAACTTAAGAACAAATCTGTGCGTACGAACGGTTCTTGCATGAGGCACATTATACCGGTTCAAATGGATTTCTCTGTAAGGCTCTTCATTTAGAAGGATTTAATAAATAACAAAAATGTAAACATTGTTGAAACCATCATTCATCCCTTTTTACTTTCAAACTGAGCCAGGATTAAATCAGTGAAACATTTATGATTATGTATTAAAAATCCCATCACATAGGTAAGCCTGTGACAGGCGCTTCTTATGAATCAGTAAATGAATCAGTAAATCAGTCTCAAAGTATTCAGGAAAGTCCTGCCTTTGATCATCTTGGTTTGATGTTAAAACATACTGAAAAAGAAAGCTATTTGTCATTTATGTTACTCATTACATCTTAGTTCTGTTTTTATCCAATAAACAATATTTTCTTCTCTTTCCCCACACAGGGTCAGGTCTATAGAGGATTCACCGACTGCTTTTCCAAGACGCTAAAGAAAGAAGGTTTGACGGGACTCTACAAAGGCCTGGGAGCCTCTTATTTTCGACTCGGGCCCCACACCATCCTGTCTCTGTTCTTCTGGGACGAGCTGCGCAAGCTGGGCCAGAAACTCAGATAACCCCAGGGACGAGGCAAACTGGGAGATGGGTAACTCATTAAGGCTAAATGAGTCACCATTTGCTCATTTTACAGCAGGGAAAAATCTGATGAGGCCTTTTTTAATATAAGGACAGAACAAAGGTTACGTTTTAAAATTCACTGAAAGAAAAAAATCTATAAACTGAAAATATGCAGGTTATTGAAGTTGGAAGCTTAACCCTCCTGTTATGTTCGTTAAGTCCATTCCTAACTATTTCAATCAATATTTGTGAATTGCAAAGAAACAAATAGTATTGGACACTTTTGACTCTTTTTACCCTTCATTTTGACTGCCGGGTCAAAGTGACCCGAACAATATCTATGTAATATGTAGAAGGGGGGGGCTGCAAAAAAGTAAAATGAACAATTTTCATTTTATATGCAAATTGTACCTATTACGACAAATAGATAAAGTTTTATGCAGAAAAAATACTTTAAACTATTTTTTTTCTTTAAAACGGGTCAATTTGACCAGCAACATAACAGGAGGGTTAATTATTTATTTGACAAATTAAAGTGTCTGACACACGTTTAAAGCACTTAAATGGGTCATTCCAAAATATTTAAATGGATCTGCACTTTAAAGCTCGCAAAGAAAAGCATCAAATTTTGCCCCCAAGGAGGTTTGAACTCCACCCAAGAGCCAGAACATTTTAATTTAAGCTTGTCAGACAGGTTTTAAAATGTTTCTAGGAAGTGAGACGAAGTCATTGAGGAACAAAAGGACCACCGACTTTACGAGTCAGCACAAATAATCAAACCAGAACCGATAGAAGTTTCAGTTTAAATCATAGTGGAGATATGAATATTTTAAATATTGACACAAACAGTTTTAAATAAGACAAGAAAAGACAGGTTGTTGGAACACGTCCCTCCATCTCTACCTCTAGAAGTTCTTTCAGATGTCCACACTGGGAGAAGTACATCCAGTATTGGTACTGACCCTGTGAAACTGTAAAAACAGGACCTGAAAGTAAAGTTCATTTGTTTCCATCCGCAGGGTATTGTGAAACCCACTGGTCTATACACAAAGTTCTAATAATGTTTGAGCTGCTTTGTCATTTTTACGCGGCGCTCTAAAAGACAGGTCATCTTACATGTTGCTATTTCAGGAAGAAAATAAATTAAAAAGTGGAGAAGAATTTCACTGCAGTGAACTTTTATAAACATAATAAAACCCAAAGGTACATTGAAGCAGGGAGAACAAGTGGCCCAGCAGGTCCTGGCAGACTGGCCCACTTACAGACATAGAAGATGTGTCCAATAAATGACTCCACTGAATCAAACAAAATACTTATTGTGGTAGACTTTGGGATGGAGGACAGTATTTTGCTATACTACGGTATTAAAATATGGTACCTGTCACATGAGGTGATGCACCAAATTTCCTCAAGGCTGTTATAAAACCTGGGACATAAACATTTTCAGTTCTTTCAGAAGACGCTTCTTAATGTTACTGACAAAAGTTTTTTGTTTGTTTGTTTGTTTTTTGCTTTGCTTTATTTTTTTTCAAGCCGTGCAAGCTGCAGATGAAGAAATAAATACAAACTTCATCGGCACAAAGACTGGCTAAAAGAATGCAGCAGTGTGGCTGCAACAACAACAACAGTAAGAGATTAGTTTGAACCTTAGAACCCTAAAATAGACGTACTTGGTTATGACCTGTTCAGTCATTTAGTGGTGGTCTACTGTCAGAGCCTTAAAGAGCAGCAAGTTGTTGCATCTCAGATCATCATGTGCATCGTGGAAAAAAGTCACGTTTGTACGTTAGCAACTTCTGTTAATTATTTATTACTCAACACTCACACCCACTAAAGAATAAATATAATGTATTATAAATATATTATATTTTATACACACACACACACNTTCAGGAAAAGTGTGGAAATGAGCTGCGTAAATTACACCTGTTCGTATCCAGTTGCTCGTGCACGCGAGAGGAGATAAGCATAATTAGCACCCCAAAAACACCATATAAGGCTGTGTTTCCTGCCTCAGATATTAGGAAGTGTCCATTC